CATTATAATACTAGTTTTTCTCCATATTTGATAAATATATATCTTTTTTTATTAACACATTTTATACATGACCCAAGATCTAAGCATAAATCTCCATTAACCTTGCGGCGTTATTCATTTTATTTTCCAGTAAAATAATGTTTTGTCTCAGAGACATTTTATATTTTAGCTAGAAAAGATAGGTTTTTCCGCCTACTTCTCACTTTTTAATAGGGTTACAATAGTGGTTAGTTCAAAGAGCAGTTCATAATACAAATTAATCTAGTAGTGAAGATGGCTTTTAAGATATTGACTAGATTTCGAATCCTTCGGGTACAAAATTTATTTCATCGACACTTAACAAATATACTGCTGAAAGTGTATAAAAGTACTTCCTACTAAATCTGCCACCACCATACATTCATAAAGTTTCACCTTTCATTTGGTCACAGTAGACATGTTAAATCTATTCTCTCCAGGCATATTCGTGAAAGCATTGACACGATGCTGATGCCCTCATCCCTATCAAGGTATCTTTTAAATTTCTCTTGTCTCATCCAAGCCCTTAAATGTGCTTAAAGTTAAGAGGCGAGAGACGAAACTTATGGAATACTTTAACATTTTAGTTATGGGAAATAAACGAATAAATCATATCAGTAGTGGCTGAAACAAGGATTTTGCCAATTGCCTAAAGGCCTAGCAACAAACATAGTTGCGTTTTCAGGGTTTATTTAGTATGTGTTGATTTGACCTAGGTTTCACAACCTGTTCGAAACGTCAAGGGGGCCTTGTGGAGAAAACCTAGTCCTTTGGCCCCTGCTATATTATTCTTAATTTCCATCATCGGACCATTAACTAAGCAGACTTACAGACATGAAGAAAAACTGTGTTTCGATGACTCTCTTGAGATAATATTATTAGGGGACTTTCAGTTCGCATGAAAGTGAATGAAGAAGAGATTCGTTGGTCGATCTCATCAGATGAGGATGGATGAATCTCGTTGTGCTGCAGCCATTTTGCTTTTATACAATATTCATTTTGACGCAGTTCACAAGACTTCCCCCCTCGTTTCAGGTGAAAACGTGCTGAGCTTTCGTCCATCATATGATGGACATCATCATAGCTGGGTTTCATTCTTGTAAGAGTCTCACGTTAACACTAGGTCAAGAACACTATCCGGCTCTATCTCACTTATTATACAAATTTTTAATTTTAATTTGGCTCAATTGAAACCCAGCTCTGATGATGTCCACCATATGTTGGATGAAAGCTCAGCATGTTTTCACCCGAAACGAGGGAGGAAGTCTTGTAGACTGCGTCAAAATGAATATTGTATAAAAGCAAAATGGCTTTAGTACAATAAGATTCATCCTTCCTCATCTGGTGAGATCGACCAACGAATCTATTCGTCATTCACCTTCGTGCGAACTGAAAGGCCCCCTAATAAGTTGTACAGACTTTTTGCCGGCATCCTAGCCGTTATCGTCAATTAGAGGCGCACACGTTAGCAAGTTGCGAAAACATGGTAAAACCAACATTATAAAGGTAAAGGAGACAGCGACCAAACAGAAGGACACACAATCATGGCCTTCATATATACGATTGATTTATTAGTTTTCTGACCTTGCTTTCACACTTTGGTTAAATTGGCAGAAAGACCTAGAGTAACGCACCTTGTCCGGAGTCCATAGAGTGCATGAAACATTTCAAAGTCGAACAGTGGACTTGGTACATTACAAGACGTCTTGCCGACATTGTAGTCGGCATTGTCAGGGAGCCTTGCAATTCTCAGCACCAAACTATGACTCGTCACTGGTACAAGTGAGGTCAATGCCTATAACGACTTTCTGCCAAAATGGCTGCGCTATCACTCCTATTTCTGTTCTGGCCCATCTGTATAGTTCCCACCCTCTTGTCTCGTCCTATCATAGCTTCTGATTTGTTTATATTCCATTCATCAAGAGGTGTGCCCTTTTGGCGAATTTACAGTGGCTTCATCACATCTGCTGTTTTCCTCGACCTCCTCTCTTTCGTGTGACTGATCCGACTCGGGCCTCCTGTCCAGATGTGCCTTATTGGGACGTAAATCCGTTTCTTATCTTTCTGGTTGGCCAACCAAGGATGCACACCACCAACAGCCTAAGGGTTACTGAGGTTACACAAAGAATGAGAACCACTAAGACTGATGGTCAACAACAAGTATTGAGCAACACACAAGTTAGCAAAGTTCATATGTCTGAAACTCAAAAAGGTAAATGACATATTGTCAAATACAGTAGAGCACTATTATGAATCATATCAGATGATCATAAACATAACACTGGAAGAAACAGAATTATCGGTACATTTTTATTTACAATCTATGTACAAAAATATTTCTGAATAAATGGCGCTAATGACCATAGTAGAAAATTTAGATCGAGAAAAGGATATTCTAGAAGCAGAGAGTATCAGAAGGGAGTCGTTAACACGATTAATCAACTTGACAATAAGTACTACCTTCTTCACATTTAATGGTAACATCTAGGAACAGACATTTGGACTTCCTATGGGATCACCCCTCGCATCTCTATTATAAAATGTATACATGAACAAATTAGAAGAGGATTTTAAGACGTCACCGCTGCAATCACGAGTTCTTATGTGGTACCTAGATGACCACTTTGCAATATGATCACATGAAAGGGAAAAATTGGAGGATTTCCTTAAATTTATGAACCGAGCTGGTAAAAGAATAAAAGTTCACAATGGATGTAGAGGAAGAGTGGTACTTGGCTTTCTTAAATGTGGAGGTCATTCGCTCTACTGGGATACTCAAGAGAAAATTGTTCCGAAAGAAGTCGTATGCCGGAATAATACTCAATTTCAAGTCTTATCACAACTATAGAATGAAGAATACTAATGAGCATGATCATCAGAAGCCTACTATCAACGGACGTGAAATTCTGGGATGAAGAATTGGAAAAATTGATTCTAATATAGCTCGGCAACGGATACCCTGGAGAAGTAATGCAAAAAAACATGCTGACCATGAAGAACCAATGGCAGGACGGGGATTATGAAAGAAGCATAAAGATTTAGAAAGAGTCACAAAAATGGATATCTCTCCCTTCCTGCGAACTAGCTCAAAAACTACTGCCTATATTAAGCAAATGAAGTATTCAAGTGAGCACGAAGGAGAAAACAAGTCTACCCACGCAACATGAGAGGGTTGACAAATTGAATTGCTCGGGAGTTTACTATATAGCATGCGGCGCCTGCGAACATAAATATATTGACGAAACAGGGATAAAAATCATAACTCTACCAAAATAACATCAAAGACTTTGTAGGAAAATGGATACTGAAATATGGGATATGGCGGAACACATCGCAAAGCCTGAACACGAGATCAATTGGGAAGCAATAGAAATAAGGGCATCATATTGTAAAAACTCAAAGAAATCGAAGATTTGGGAAGCCATTGACATCCTTGGGGTGAAAATGCAATGAACAGATTGGAAGAAGACAGAGTTAGTGACAAATTTGCCTATTGCCTGGTCAAACTCGGAGAAAACATGGATACAAAAAGGAGACGTTTGGATCAAGGATTTATCGTAAACCAAAATAAATGGATCGCAAGGAAGAATGGGTCAAGGAAGTTTCGGAAATAGACCATACGTTCTCAAGGAGTGTGGTATGCTCGAAGAAACAACTACAACTTTGGGGGCCTGACGGTCAAGTGACTGGTGCGATGGATAATCACAATCATCAATGAAATTTGGCCTTATGGCCTAATTGACTAATAACCCACTGGAGATGCAGCAGGCGACCAGAGATAGATGTCCACAGTTTGCTCAAGGTACACAGGTTTAATCAAGAACATGATGCAAAAATGCATTGCCTAATATCCTCAAGCATGGGAAATCAGATCCTAGGCGGTTTTCAGGTGAGACGACGTAGTATGTGCCGAGTGAAGGCTTGAGAACTAGCGCCTGGAGTAAAAAGTGCACTGGGGCTGGAACCGAGTGAAATCGGTCAAGTAGAAAGATAAGAAACGGATTTACGGGCCCATGAGGCAGGTTCGGACAAGGGACACAAGTTGGATCGGTCATTCGAAAAAGAGGGGGTCGAGGCAATCAGCAGGTGTGATACAGCCACTATAAATTCGCCATAAAGACACACCTTTTGATGAGTGGAATATAAACAAGTCAGAAGCTGTGATAGGACGATGGCGAGACAAGAGGTGGGAATTATATAGATGGGCCAGAACAGAAAGAGGAGTGATAGCACATCTGTTTCGGCAGGGAGTTGGTCGCTTGTATCTTTGACGAGTTGTAGTTTGGTGCTGAGACTGGCCAGACTCACTGACGATGCCGACTACAATGCCGGCGAGAAGTCTGGAAATGTACCAAGTCCACGGTCCGACTTTGAAAAGTATCATGCACACTATGGACTCCTGACACGGTGCTTTACTCTAGGTCTTCCTGCCAATATGACTAATTTGCGAAAACAAGGTTAAACAGCTAATATATATCGAAACGAAACTGCAACCGATTTATTTAGTCTAATCTATTTTCTCCCACACCCGCAGTAACAGTGACTTTAGTATTTATTCTGTAACAAATCTGGCAGGGTATATTGTTAGTTTCTTTTCCTTTACATTACACTCCTCTCTATCTATTTGCATAGTGTCCTCTGTCCGCATTGCTCTAATTATTTGTAATATTCTATACAGAAAGAAATTAGACCCTCTGTATGAGGGCTTTAGCCTACTTACCAAGCAAATTTTGACAACATTTCTGAATAATCAAGGGTATAAAGACCAAGATGGTGTGGCGTTTTGTTTGATTGCAGTCTCCTTTCGTTGTATAGAAGTTGTTTGACCTTGTTTTCGCAACTTGGTCATATTGGTAGGAAGACTTAAAGTTACGCACCTAGTCCGGAGTCCATTGTATGCATCATCATTTCCAGAGTAGGACCGTGGACCTGCCTTCTTCATTAGATTTCTCTGGGCCAGTATATCGATGGCCTCTCGGATCATGCGTTTTCTCGTATTTTTCCCATATGCAGCTAACCTTTCGGTCGATTTCCTGTCGATTTCGTGCCA